TGAAAACGCTTTGAACATTTTAGATGACTGGAAGATAGTATACATGATACTTTTGTGCAGCTGGGGTTGGAGCCTCATTAGTACATACTATCCCAGGAAATTAGTAATTCATCTCTAATACTAACTAGTTCTGACCCTTACTAGGTTGGTTCATCTAGATAACATTACCTCAATCAGCAATTTCAGACTTTCTTTTTGTAGTTATGTTTATCTACACTCTGCCTTTTTCAATAAGAATTTGCTTAGGTTTTCTCTTCTACTGATTTTCAAGCATATCACAATTCTTTTACAAAAGGCTATTTTTAAGTGGCATTGCTATTTCCTATATTCTCACTCAAACTTTATTTAAAAAATAAGTTTCTTTTCACAAGCATCAGAAGTTTTTATTGTCAATTCATATGCTTTAAGAGAAAATGTTATCCTTTCACATGAAAACTGAAAGTTATGGAAAAAGTTATTTCTACCAAAATCATTCTCTTTTGATAAACTTATTAAAAGTGACTTTCAATTTACATTTTTATCTTTTTCAAAGAGAAATCAAATTGTGGTGTTGATTTTGGATGACTCCTGCACTGTTCTTTCCAAATTCCCCAGGTGTGAAAAGCTGAGTGGGGTTTTAAATTAACAAGTATCAGCCAAATATCTTAGTTAAGTGGATGCATATATTGAAAGCATTTCTCTACTGGGATGTATGATATTCTAACGAAGCCATTTACAAAAACAAATGTAAAACTTTGTCAGAGCAGCCTTGATGTGAAGGCTCATCACGTGAATGCCACTGAAGAAATGAGCAGACATTAATAACTGCTATTTTAACAATTCTATATGCATTAGGTAGCAATAGGATAGTCAAGAAAGGTAGTTAGCCTTTTCATTTAAAAGGATTATTCTTTTTTCTTGCAATTATCGAGCCCCAGGTTTGTTTCTGCTGCTGTTGCTAAGGACAATAGCCTGCCAGATAGGAAATGATGCTGATGAAGACATAAAATAACACTTAAACACATATTTTACTCAAAAATCCAGAGAACTGGGAATAGGATATGTTAGGAAGGGGGTGGGAGTAACAAAGGGGAAGGGAAAAAAACCAAACAAGGGAATACATAAGGGTGAAAAAATATAATATACAATAATTAATTCATACTCTGAAATTCTAGATGGCTCACTTTCAAACTAACAATTATTTCATTGTTCTGGGTCCTTTCTCTAATTTTTTTTACAGTTATACTCCTATGAATTTTCTCTGCCAAAACTCATCCAAAGTTAGAACCGTAACCATAAGAAGTACGACGAGCAACAATGTATATATAAATTACTAATTCTTTTCCATTCCAAAAAGTTGGTATCTAAAGAAGATCCAGTTTTGTATAGAGGTATATTAGCCATTAGCAACTATCTTTCTTTTCATTATTATTGTAAAACTTTGGGTTGTCACCGAAAAAGCACTGCAAATGTGTACAACTACAGAGGTGTTCCTGGTTTAAACACAACCTTTTTCTACCTATCTATCTATCCATCTATTTATCTATCTAGAACTTAGTGACATCCTTCATAAGTAGACTTCTGGGATAGACTGTCATTATAGGATCAGTGTCCTCGACAAGAGTGTATTCAAAGAATCAAGGCACATACATGGCTCTTTAGAAAGGCAACAGCTGCCAGCAGCGGCAGCCTAGTTTTGCCAAGTGATTCTTCCTAAGAATTTCCTCAGTTAAAAAGAAAAAATTTGATAAATTAGCTTTGTAACCACTCCAAAGGAGTGTTTAATGACCTCCTCTCCTTTTAAAATCGCTTAAATACTCCACTAAAGGAGCTGCCTTAATCTCCTACATGAACTACTGAAGTTTAGGTTTTTTTAACTTATTATCTTTCCTTACAGTTTAGACAAAAGAGAAGTTAAACTTCTCATTCAAATAAAAGAAACCACATGACTATTTGAAAAAGAAAGCATATTGTAATGGAGAAAAGCAGAATATTAGTAAAATTTAAGTTTCAGCTAGTTATACCTTAGCACCAGCATTTACGTAAATTTTCTGTTGATTTTTTGGGGTAAAATAGCTGGCTTACCTCTAGGGAGTTATTGACAAGATGTGTTGAAACTACTTAGCTAGCTATAAAGCATTAAATATCTTACTAATAATTCTACAATAAAATCCATGACATGAGACAGATATTATTCATATATCCCCCTCACTTGGAAGGCAAAGCTCTCTCCACAAGACAGCAATTTGCAATATTATTTTTAGGTGTGTTACATTAATTTGCTTCACTAGTTTTTATTTTGTATCTTGGCGATAAAGTTTTAGTCTACACACCATTGCACATCACTTAGAACCAGGACTGTGTCACAATTTATGTAGCCAAAGTACACAGCTAACACTGTACTCTTTGATACTTATATATATATATATATTTTTTTTTTAACGTCTTTATTGGAGTATAATTGCTTTACAATGGTGTGTTAGTTTCTGCTTTATAACAAAGTGAATCAGTTATACATATACATATGTTCCTATTATCTCTTCCCTCTTGTGTCTCCCTTCCTCCCACCCTCCCTATCCCACCCCACTAGGTGGTCACAAAGCACGGAGCTGATCTCCCTATGCTATGCGGCTGCTTCCCACCACCTATTTTACGTTAGGTAGTGTATGTATGTCCATGCCACTCTCTCACTTTGTCACAGCTTACCCTTCCCCCTCCCCATATCCTCATGTCCATTCTCTAGTAGGTCTGTGTCTGATATTTTTATATTTCTAAAGGTACAACATATAATTTTCCTAGAAAATTGAGTAAGTATACTCATGCCCCTTTAATGTCCTTGTCATAAGCAATAGTGAGGTGATCCTCCACCCGCCAAGAACTTAAAAATACAATTCCTTTTATTTGTTATATTAACACACAATAGTTAGAAGTATTGTCTTTCTAGTCTAAGAAAATTGCAAAACTATTTGAAACTTTATCAATAATATTAAACCAGTGAAAGGGCATCAATGAACAGGGCTGACCAGCATCTAAATATCTGAAACATGGATTTCAGTGGGAGTGCAGGGAGGGAAGAGAAAGTTTCAGTAAAAAACATCTCTAGCGAGGGGAGAGAGACTACATCTGGTATAGCGGGTCAGGTCTGTTGAAAGACAGGGCCTGTGTGAAATATTCCTTAAGAAACTCTGTTCATTTCATATATACCAAGTAATCTTCTGAACAAAAATTCAACTTCTCAGGAAATGTGATACCATGAAAGGGGACAGAGAGATAGGAACACTAGTTTCAGGAAAGGAACATTCTTATAATAAACTGATATTAACATTGTATACCTCTATTATGTGTAACATAATATATACCCTCACAACTCAGTGAGGTAAGTACTATTATTATATCCATCTTACAGATGAGGAAAGTAAGGTATATGGAGGCTAAACAGTTGCCCAAGATCACACAGGCATTTAAGTTGTATAGATGGAATCAAAACTAGGTAACCTGGATTCAAAATCAATACTACTAAGCTCTACAGACTACTAGCATCTATGACAGTCATGTACAAATGCAGGGTTTTGGACCTGCAAAGACCCAGAGTTTGAAACCTCATTAAACTAAACATTCTCTGAGGCCCTATACACACCCTCCGTCCTGCTGACGTGCTTATTAAACTTCAGTGAGTTACTCTGAATATTTTGTAAGTAGTGCAAATGAGAATTTACATATTTTTTAAAAAGCAACAACAAATTATCTGTTTGGTGGGCACTTAATATTCTTGTACTCGTAGAATACTTAATGTTCTTCATAGAAAGCAGAAAAAATTTCCAATTATATATTAAAATTAACATGTCCTGAAAATGATTCATCTCATAAGAATAATACACATGGAATTTCTATATATAAGAAAAGTTAGTACTGCCAATAGTCACTATAAGATAGTGGGTCAACAATGCACGAGAATTTTCTTGGGGGAAGGTCAGCTTTTTTTCTGGTTTACTTTGCAATACATAAATAGATGTCAAGAGGCCACTAGCTGTTTGGTCTGTGACCTAACACCATCTCCTACTGTTGAAATTCTTAACAGGCTGAATACCAGTCAGAAGCCGGAAGGATTATGTCCAGTTCACTAACAATGTCATCACTTTTTGTTGATTCTGTAACAGTTCTCTCATCCCAGCAATACAAATAAAACAGAATTAAGTTTTCTGTAAATATAACGACTGAATGGGGCTAAGTGGATAACTTGAGTAATGCTTTTATGTAACTTGAAAAACTGGGAATAAATAGTTCAACTATCTAAATAGTTGAAACATTCTTTAAATTATATTAGAATTATTTATAGAAATGTAATATAATTGGGAAAAATCAGAAAATACAGACCCACAAAAGGTCTTTATTCCCGAAAGAATAACATATCTCAAGTACAAAACTTTGGAAAGTCATTTGTGTTTAGTTATCAACAGATAGATATTAATGATGCTCTGTTAATATTCAGTTTTTCATAAAGAAGACAAAATTTCTATGATGGTACCACATCTTGGCCTACCAGAGAACTCCACGGACTTAAATAAATGATACTTTTTATAACTTAGCATGTAGGGTTGTTTTAAAATTTTTTGTTTTGCCTCTCCTTCTTATTGTAGGCTATAAATAGCAACAGTGCAAGAATATTGGTATGTGTCATTTTTCTTTTAGAATAGATATTCCTACCTCCATAGATGCATTTCTTTTTTGGTATCTCAGTCATCATCTCAAGGCTGGTGAACTTGAAGCTCATAGTGCCTAAGTTAATTTTCATTGTTCCTACAATATCTGTAAGATGAGTGAAAATACGCATTTGACAACTTTATACATATGTATGTTAAATTTTTGGCTACAATTTCTTTTAATATATTGACAGTATGATGGTACATGAAAAAATAAAAGATGTCAATCTTAAATGCTCTTCTAAAGATAAAAGCTATAAATAATCTTTTATTAGGTATCCAAAGAATCTTTGAAGTCACCTAGAATAAAAAAGTGGACTGTTTACAGTCAATTTATTGGGAACTAAATTGGTAACACTCTGCAATGTGTTTATTCTTTAGAATTAGTCAAAATTTATTACTAATTATTTTGCTAAATTGGAAAGAATAAGTTCACTACACAGTTGGAAGTTTCAGTCTTTTGAAAAAGTCACCTTAAGTATGTAAGTTGGGGTTACTTTGGCAAGCAACAGCAATAATGTTCAAATGCCATGTCTCCTAGCTTTCACGTTGTTCGGCTCTCTAGAATCAACAGTTGGTCATTTTCAATACCATTACAATATAGACTAGTTAATAAGCCTGACAAAAATTCTAACTTTTCTTTTTAAAGAGGAGAGGGCGTTTATAATACAGATACTAAAAATACAAGAGTTTCAAGTTGCATGCAACATGTGCCTACAAAGAAACTAAATGTTAATCTAGTTCAAGTTACCTAAATGTATAAAGAAAAAGCAATGTGCTAGCCAACATTCTCACTAAAAAATAAATCATCATGAAACACAGGCAAATTCCTTCCTGTATCATAAAGGATCAAAAACCATAGGTAAAAATGTAGTGTTTCTCTAATTAACTGAAAACAATAAATACCAGGTAAAAGACTACTCAAGTCTAGAAGAGAAATAACACAAAAATGAGCCAGTTATATTTTAGGTACAAGTGACAAATATATTTCTTTTTATTGTTAAGTTTTCTCTAATGTATTTCAGTAACTGAAGTGTTTTATTTTATTTTATTCCACTGTTGGCCATAGTTTGAGCCCTACAGACTCCCTTCCCTTTCACCTCAAAGCGAGCTCCTTTGTATGTAGCCACACACTCATCATTAGTGTAAAGATCAGGCTGGATCTGCTCCCAAATCTTCTTCTTAGGATTCAGCTCCTTGTCAGGCTCTCCTGTTTGGGGAGGAAAAAAAATACATAGCTAACATATTAATAAACTGACCATAGAGATTTCTAGTGAATTGTCTTGGATACAATTTCTGATCTTTAGATCAGATCAGGATTTAAACGTTTACTTTTTAAAAAATATTTTATTCATTTATTTTTGCTGTGTTGGGTCTTCGTTTCTGTGCGAGCGCTTTCTCTAGTTGAGGCAAGTGGGGGCCACTCTTCATCGCAGTGCGCGGGCCTCTCACTATCGCGGCCTCTCTTGCTGAGGAGCACAGGCTCCAGACGCGCAGGCTCAGTAGTTGTGGCTCACGGGCCTAGTTGCTCCGCGGCATGTGGGATCCTCCCAGACCAGGGCTCGAACCCGTGTCCCCTGAATTAGCAGGCAGATTCTCAACCACTGCGCCATCAGGGAAACCCCCGAACATTTACTTTTAACACTTATTTTATTTTTACAATGTCGGCAATTTATATTCTTTTTTTTTTTTTTTT